ACACACGCAATAGAGAACACCAGCAAACCAAATGTGGTTTTTTGAGAAGATGACTAAAATGGAGAAATCATGGGTAAAACTGATCAATAAAAACGGAAAGAAGGCACAAATAGCCAATCTTGGGAATGAAAAAAGGGGACACATGCAATGTTGCTTAAGTCAGAGCAAGTTAGGGGGTGTTGAAGGGAAGGAGCCACCCCAGGCGGAGAGCCGCATGTACCTGGGACAGCGCTGAGGCAAGGGTCCGTTCACTGCCACAATTGCTGTAGTAAAGGGCATTGCTTCTGTAGGGGACAGCAGGATGGGAGGCTGGAGTAGCCAGCAGGGTCCAGTTTAGGGAGGGTAGGCTGAGGAATTTGAACTTTATGTTGAGAGCCAAAGGGACCACTGGAGGTGGTAAGGCAGGGGAGAGGAGGTGGCACAACAGAATTCTCCTTTAGGATGATTGCCCTGGCTGCAATCTGGGGAAGAATTAGGAGATGGGGTGGGGTAGGGGAGGGCAGTGGGAGGACAGGTGCAGCCATCCAGGTGAGAAGAATCAGGGCCGGAAGCAAGGCAACGATGTCAGGAATGGAGCGGGTGGGGAGCTGAGGACAGATGGCAGAGCTCTGGAAAGCACCCCTATTTATGGGGTGAAGGGCGAATGACCAACAGCAAAGGGAGTGGAAAAGAAGATGGAACACTTGCTAAAGAAAGAGGGAACTCCAAACGGGAGGAAGGTCATGGTGGAAGGTGTGATGTGCATTGTATTTGGCAATCAGGTCATCACTGGTGACATCAGAAATAGCCCAGTTTCAATGGACTGTGAATAAAGGGGGCTCTGGGGGCCGGGGTGCTTGGGACGGAGGCTGAGCTGTGTTGGGAGGAAGGACAGAGTGCGGCCATTGGAGGCAATGTGGTATTGCAGGTTGTTCTAAAGGAGAGAACATACAGCTTCCTGGCTCCCCTCTTGCCTCTTCCACCTGAAGAATTAGTCAGTGACTCTCATTATATGACTAAGATTTTCCAAGTATGTTAATTCAGGTCACTCAATTTTCTCCTTTCATTCCATATTAATAGGGACACAATTTTGAACCTGACCTCACTATTTTTCTTTATGTGTCTGGTTCATTTACCACATAAGGAGATGAGACAAATGTGTTTAGCCAAAGAGATACATTTAACAGATCGTCGTAGCTGTTTCTGCCAAGGAAGTTTACATCAGAAATGGCCAGTTTTCACGTCAGATTGGTATTTCTAAATCCCAGGTTTTCCCCCTGTGACATATTGTAATTGAGAGATACCCAAACAGATGTTTTCTGTTAGCTAGACTCAGTTCCAAAGGTTTCTTCATAGGTTGCTCTGAAATAATCCCCAAGGAGCCCCAGGGGCCAATAATCTCCATTTTTCTATTGCATATGAAAATATTTCAGTCTGCTTATGTGAGATTAATTTGATTTCTGAACAGTATTATTATTAAAAATGGATCCTAATCACCTTTTCCATGCATATTTAAAAAATTAATTTGTTTGCCTTATTTTACCTCTTGTTGCTGGAAAATTCTAGTCATTCCTCTGTGGCCGCCAAATTATTGATTCATTTTTAGTGGTCTTTGAGATTCGCTCTCCCAAATCACACTCAGTTGACCTGTGGAGTGCCTGAGAAGAGATACCCATATTGTCTGTGTTCAGGCACGTAGTCACACAACAGGTCAAATGTTTTCTTGTTGGACTGGTGATCGAAAAATGAAATTTTAAGAGCGGAAATGGTAGAAACATTGTTTCCAAAATGAGACCTGGAGAAATCATTGTATAGACTCTATCAGTATTGCTCTAAATCTTGAATTGTTATGTCTCAAAAATCACTCTGAAGTCAGAGCTTGCTGTGAATAACCGCTTGGAAAATAAAATAACTGTCTCTCCTGGGATCAGAAGCACCCGACCCAAAGAATAGGAGGGGAGATACTGACGGAGAAGGACGGAGAAGCTTGCCCAGAGTCTACAGTTCCAGGGGTCTGGAGCCTGGGAGTCTACAATGGACTTGCCAGTGACCTTCATGTGACCGTGGGGATCTTTTTGCTTCTGAGGATCCTTGGGTCGCTCAGCAGGAATCTGGGTGAGGAGGTGCTGCTGGGGCCTGCAGGCCCGGCGTCAGTGGTTCTCACCAGAACGCCTTGGCTGCATGATATAGGGCTCTCCTTATAAAGTTGGAGTTTCTTGTTCCAAAACATTCAGATTACCTGTACTTTCTCCTTACGGGTGGAGGTGAGGGCAGGTTTCCTGGCCTAGTGGACAGTGGCTGACATCACCCAGGCCTGAGTCTGGAAAGGAGAGGCCAAGTGTGTGGTCTTCAAGGGTAGCTCATGGCTTGGGTAGAGCAGAATGCTGGGATCCAGGCTGCACCCATGTCCCTTCCTTTATTCATTCACTTCACAGAGAATTGCCGAGCACTTTCTAGGTGGCAGGTGCTGTACTGAGCCCTGGGTCAACCCTGATGGACAAAACAGACACAATGTCTGGTCACTAGAATTTCTGTTCTACTGGGAGTGACAGAGCCTGGATACCTAGGCAAACACAAACCAGCGTCATGGAGTGTTGCCATAAATTCCATGAAAAAGAGACACAAAACACCACGGAGGAGAATAGGAAGGGATCAGGGGTCATCCCGCTAGTGATGGGGTGAAAGCAGGGGTGAAAGGTCAGGGGTCAGGCGGTGCCTCTCTAAGGGTATGGCATTGGCCAGAATGACAGGAGAAGGGAAGGGGTGGGTCCCAGCAGGGGACAGAAAGTGTGAGGCCTGACTGGATAGATGCCTTGATGGGAGGGAGGAACCCAAGGAAGTTCAGGAGGCTCCAGTGGCAGGTGATGGGGGGAGACTGGGGAGGGGTGAGGTTGGGAGTAGGCTTGGGGCCAGGTCCTATAGCCATGTGTGGGCCCTGGAAAGAAGCTCTTCTTTTATGCCAAGGACAGGGGAATCCACAGGATGGTTTTAGCAGGAAAATAACATAATCCTACTTACAGTTTGCTTTTTGCTGAATCCAGGTCTCACTCTGTTTTCCTGACTGTAGCTGGCACAATGCCAGTTCACAGCAGCCTCTAACTGTTGGCCTCAATTGATCCTCCCTCCTCAGCCTCCCAAACTGCTGGAGTTACAGGCATGAGCCACTGTGCCTGGCCTCTGCTTATATTTTCAAAAGACAAATCTGGCTGCTTTATGGAGAATGGCCTGGGACTGGTGAGCAACCACGTGGATGTGGAGAACAGAAAGAAGCGGACTCGGTGCCCTTCCGTGTGGACTCGGTGCCCTCCTGTGTGCTTACTGTGCTTCCAGGGCTGCCCGCCTGAGAGGGAAGAGAGCCTGCCAATCATTCTGCAAGAGGACCTTGGCAAATTACTTTTCCAAAGAGTGTTTTCCTTTACTTCAGTAGTGGATGAAGGTGCAGACTCAACGAGTAGATGTAAATTAACACATTCTCATGCCTCTAACAATTCAAATCACATCTGACACAGGGACTCTGCCTGAGTGAGTCCTGGATGCAGGAGAGGCCACAGACAGAGGACAGGTCCCCGGGGAAACATGACACAGGCTGGGTACTCAGGGCGCTGTGGGCACACACCCTGGCACCAAAACAAGCCTCCATCCCAGAGGCTGGACTCTGTGGCGTTCTCACGCTGGCTCCTGGGCCAACACTGCTGATGGAAAGGTATAGTACTCTGTGGGGTTGCGTTTCTCCTGGAAGGGGAAACCATGTGTATCTCCAAAGAGCGGTGTGCCAGGCAGTCTGACAGTCAACTCACTCTGCTTGTTTATGAAAAAACAGGAGAACCACTTGATGAAAATCCAATTTTCCTTTAAAAATAAAAAAAAAGAAGAAAATGAGAAAGCTGGTTCAAAATCATTGACTTTGGAAGGAAGGACAGATTTTCCAAGAATGCAACTGGGGTGAGACTCTTTCTGAAGTTGGAAACAAATCAGATGTTAGTGGCCTAATGGGACACAAAACACCTCAATATTCTTTGGTGCCGTTCAGAAAGCATGATAACATTTATTTTCTCATTTTAGTTAGCTACATAGCGCCAAGCTTAACATGCAATGGCATTTGCACAGTAAAGATCTATGGGGTCAGCAAAGGGAAACCTCTCCTCTCGGTTTCCTGTTCCGCGGCTGAAGCAGGCTATGGAAACATTGACCATCTATAAGAGAGGACCTAAAATAATGAAAAGATAGCTTAGAGGAAATCTTGCCATGTTTCTTTGAGCCTGTGGGAAACTCCTCACTTTCCCACAAATGAAGAGAGAGTTTAGAGGAAGACAGGAACAGGAGGAAGCTCTTCTATACTTCTGAGCCACACGTGAGATGCCTGGAGGAGCTTCCTAACCTGAAGGCTTCTGAGGCATTGCAGTACTTCCAAACAGTGCTGACTATTTGTCAAGGGTTGTAGTTCACTTTTGGAGAGAGAGTTCACTATTTCTTTTCTTTCTTCTTTTTCTTTTCTTTTCTTTCTTTTCTTTTTTTCTTTTGAGATGAAGTTTTGCTCTTGTTGCTCAGGCTGAAGTGCAGTGGCATGATCTCGGCTCACTGCAACCTCTGCCTACTGGGCTCAAGCAATTTTCATGCCTCAGCCTCCCAAGTAGCTGGGATTACAGGCATCCACCATCATGCCCAGCTAATTTTCATATTTTTGGTAGAGGCGGGGTTTCACCATGTTGCCCTGGCTGGTCTCGAACTCCTGACCTCAGGTGATCTGCCTGCTTTGGCCTCCCAAAGCACTGGGATTACAGGCTTGAGCCACCGTGCCCAGCCTGGAGAGCCCATTTCTTCACCAGCTGCCACTTCCTCCCTTTCTGACCTCTGCTCCCTCTGAGGACCCACCTTCTTTATGCAGCCCCTCCTCCTGCCGGGTACATGGCCACCACCCCAGCCCCTGATCCTGGCTGGAACGGCTTGGGTGGTGGCCCCTTTTCCTCCTATCACAACAAAAGCTCTCCAGCTCCGCCTCCCCCACACTAGTCTCTCTGTATGAGGTGCCACCATTAATCAGACCTGCTGAGCTGGGCAACCAGGCATGGCTGTTGACAGGCATCTTGTTGAGGTCAGTGAAGAACAAAGCTCTACGTGTTTTTAAAAGCAGACTTTATTTAAAAATTTGCCCTTAAGAAGCAACCAGACGGGATTCATTCTTCTTAAAGTGGACTTTTGTTCTTGAGCAGCACCCAAGCGGTCTCCGAGGATACACGGAAGCAAATGGGCCTGCAAAGCTTTGGCCGGGGGACAAACCTGTTGCTCCACTTGGGGTGAGTCCATGCGTCTGAGCAGCAGGAGGTGGGTGGGGTCAGTCCAGAGAGTCAAAGCCTAGGAGGTGAAGCCTCTTCATTTGTCTCCGTCCCAGATTCAGGGTCTCCTGGTTCCTGTTAGTGTCTTGTGAAAGGTTTAGACACTTCTAAACCAAAACTGAAGTAAAGGAAGAAGCTGTGTTTAAGCAGGAGATATTTGCACGTTCTCTCCTCTCCCTATAGACCTAAATCATATTCTTTCTCTGAGGCCCAAAGCTGCATCTCCTTCATGAAACTTCCATGAACCCTGTCTGCCTTCTCTCCTGTGTTCTCCAAGCTTTGCTCTTCACTCAGTAACTGTTCCACATTACCAGCTGTTTAAGATTTTTCTGGGTCAAAGGGTGAGATTATTCTGGCTCAACTTGGTCAAGCTGGGGAGCTGCATGGTTCCTTGAATCCCCTTCCCTGGGTTAGAGTTGGTTAACAGAGACCTATGTGAAATTTGGAAGGCAAGGCTGAAGTGTTGACCATTACTCTCAGAAGTTCATCGTGGCCATGTCTGGTGACAGATGCAGAGCTGCCCGAGGCTCCCAGGTATGCTAGCTTTCCTTCCTTCCTTCCAAACTGCTGGCCTGCTGACCAATGGCAGTTCCAAGCCCAGCACGAGACTGGGGACCCACAGTGGTGGACGTGACTGAGGCACAGCTTCCCTGACCCCTCTCCACAAGACCCACTTTGTGGTCTCAAGGGGAGGCTGCCTGCCCTTGGCTTCTCAGATTTCCCTGTGAGCTTGGATTTTCTACCATGCCAGCACATGAGGAGGTCTAGTTGGTGACCCTTTATAGATCCTCCCACTTTGTCTTCCAAGTCTTCTCTTCCTTAGCTTCTTCCACATTTCTGTGAGGTTTAATTCTAGTTAAATCCGCTATCCCTAAAACATGGTGTTTTCCTGGTTGAAACTTGATGGATACATCAGTCAACCCTCCCAGTCCGTGAGCATGCTAAGGGAAGGGCCACGCCCTTTTTTGAACTTTTTAATGATGTCCAGGACAATGCCAGTTACAAGTAGGTTGTCAATGATATTTGTTGATGGCTAGATGGAAAAAAAGATTGTCCCCTACAAATTATTTTGGATAAATGATATCTTCTCATTGCTTTCCTTCTCCCAGAACTGGAAGATGGAGACCCCAAGACAGTGTAGAAAGCTGGCTGCTGGATTCCTGGGCAGGAGGTCTTTTGGCTACAGGTGAACGCTTTTCCTGAAGGTGTCAGCTCTTCGATGTGAAGATCCAGCATTACTTCTCAGGGCTGTGTCGCAGGAAAATGAAATGCAAGCTCATGATTGAATCTGCTCCCTCTTTCCCTATCCACCCAGCTGACCAATTTTCAGAGATAAACTTTTTCAGAAGAAATTAATCTCTGGTCGTGCCCAGGCCCTTGTTTCACACGTGGCTGTCAGAACTATTAGCTTTTCATGTGAGTAACAGTATGGAGACTCCTGGAATTTCTAGTGTTTCTTGTGCTCATGGAGTGAATGTGCAAGTCTTCCCAAGAGGCAAGACAAGATCTGGGGGTGTGCCTGCTCAAAGAGTAAGTCACACAGGTTACACGCAGTCTGCACTCCTGCCTCCTGCCCTCTTTTCTTCTGGTCACAAGCATGTTCTGGAGCTTTATAGGCTTCAAAGGTCTATGCTAAGTACTGACAAAACAGAGAGGGCAACCTGAAGGTGGAAATGATGCACATGGCAGAACTGCGATGTCAAAAACAATGCTTCGAATGTTTCATTGCTCAGAATTATGTTTGCTATAGGTTTGGGGTAGACATCCAGGAAAGAAGTTCCATCTTACTTTTTGTTTTCTTGAATGTTTATTTTAAGTCAGTGTTACATTGTTATCAGCAATGTTTCTGCGTTTATTTAGATGATCTCTCCCTCTCCCTCCTCGCTTTTTTCTCTTACCATTGATCTTTTAATGTGGTCAATTACAGAGTTTTTAGTGTTAAGTCACTTCTTCATTTCCTGAGAAAAACCCATGGTGTCTTAATCTTACTTACACAGCGTTGGATTTCATTTGCTTATTTTTTGTTCAGGAATTTTACATCTACGCAATGAGCAAGACTGGCCTTTGTCTTTCTTACCCTGTCCTAGTCTGGTTTTGGTATCAAGACTTCCTGTGTTTATAGAATACATTGAGAAATATTAGCACTGTTTCTTTTCTTTGAAATAGCAAACACAGGAATGATTTATTCCTTGACTTGGCAGAATATGGATATAAATTCTCTGGATCTGTTAGCCTGTTGGGGGTTAGATTTTTTTTTTTTTAATCTGAAGATTCCATTTTTGTAATGGGTACAGGACTATGGATCTTCCACTTACTCTCAAGTCAGCTTTGAAAAGTTTTGTTTCTCTAGGAATTTGTCAATTTTATCTAAGTTTTCAAATGTATTGGTAGGAGTATTTTTTTTTACAGTTTAATATTATTATTATTATACTTTAAGTTCGGGGGTACATGTGCAGAACGTGCAGGTTTGTTACATAGGTACACACGTACCATGGTGGTTTGCTGCATCCATCACCCCCGTCATCTACATTAGGTATTTCCCCTAATGATATCCTTCCCCCATCCCCCTCCACTACCTGCTATCCCTACCCTAGTACCCCAACCCCCCGACAGGCCCTGGTGTGTGATGTTCCCTCCCTGTGTCCTTGCGTTCTCATTGTTCAACACCCACTTATGAGTGAGAACATGTAGTCTTTGGTTTTCTGCTCACCAAACATCTAAACCAGACTGGTGGCTCTGGGTGGTATGCTGTTTTAGTGATGACCATTACACATGATTTTTCTTTTTCTTTTATACTTTAAGTTCTGGGATACATGGGCAGAATGTGCAGGTTTGTTGCATAGGTATGCATGTGCCATGGTGGCTTGCTGCACCCATCAACCCATCATCTACATTAGGTATTTCTCTTAGTGCTATCCCTCCCCTAGGACCCCACCCCCTGACAGGCCCCAGTGTGTGATGTTCCCCTCCCTGTGTCCATGTGTTCTCATTGTTTAACTCCCTCTTATGAGTGAGAACATGCAGTGTTTGGTTTTCTGTTCTTGTGTTAGTTTGCTGAGAATGATGGTGTCCAGCTTCATCCATGTCCCTGCAAAGGACATGAACTCATCCTTTTCTGTGACTGAATAGTATTCCATGGTGCATTTGTGCCACATTTTCTTTATCCAGTCTATCATTGATGGACATTTAAGTTCTTTCCAAGTCTTTGCTATTGTGAATAGTGCGGCAATAAACATACATGTGCATGTGTCTTTATAATAGAATGATTTATAATCTTTTGAGTATATACCTAGCAATGGGATTGCTGGGTTAAATGTTATTTCTCGTTCTAGATCCTTGAGGAATCACCACACTGTCTTCCACAATGGTTAAACTAATGTACACTCCCACCAACGGTGTAAAAGCGTTCCTATTTCTGGTGTGGAGTAGTTTTAAAAAGTATCTTATCTTTTAACGCTGTCTTGAATCTAAAGCTATATTTCCATTTTTGTTCCTAAATTGCTTATTTGTGCATTCTTTCCTTTACAGGAATTTGTTTTTATTAATTGAAAAAGTACAATTATTATTTATGGGGTACAATGTAATATTATAATATCTGAGTAGACACTGAAATGATTAAATCAATCTAATTAACATCTTCATCACCTATGAAATTTGTCTATTTTATTATTCTTTTAAAAAAGTTAGTCTCTGCTTTTGTTGATTTTTTATTATTTCTCTTGCTATGTTAATTGTGCCTCCTACATCTTAGGGTTTGTGTCCTTTATCAGTTCTGGAAAATTCAGCCGTTATCTTCAGATTTTGCCTCATTTGTATTCCCTGTCTCTCTCTCTTTTTTTTTTTTTTTGAGACAGGGTCTCACTCTGTCGCCAAGGCTGGAGTGCAGTAGTATGATCTTGGCTCACTCCAATCTCCACCTCCTGGGCTCAAATGATCCTCCCTTCTCAGCCTCCTGAGTAGCTGGGACTACAGGTGTGCACCACCACACTTGGCTAATTTTTAAATTTTTTGCAGAGATGAGGTCTTGCTATGTTGCCCAAGCTGATCTTGAACTCCTGGGCTCAAGGGATCCTCTTGCCTCAGCCTCCCAAAATGCTGGGGTTATAGGAGTGAGCCACCATGCCCGGTCATGGATTCCCTGTCTTCTCACCTTGGATTCTGGTTAGGTGTCTGCCAAGTCTGCCTACATCACTTCCATTCTTTCTTATTTTCTGTTCTTGACTCTGTTCATTGCATTCTGGCTAGATTTTCTTTAAAACTTATCTTTAAATTAATGAATTCTGATTTTAGCTTGGTCCAGTCTTCTGAAAAATCCATTAGGAGTTTGAGAAAAAAGAACTGAATTAACTAAGAAGTGGAAATTTCAAAGCAGCTCCACTGCCACAGCCTGCTCTGGAATAAGAAGGCAATATGCTGCTCCACTAAGCAACTTGCTGGGAAGACTCTTCTCTGTGCTCCTGAACACCTCAAAGCCACTGCCATTTGACTGTTGCACCCAATATTTATTTGTTACCTCCTTTTGAAAACCCACCTCCCAAATCACCTGACTTCTAACCGTAAACGCAGGCCCAGTGCTATAAGAATTCCCCTTTGACTTCATTTCTCAAGCTGTTTTTGAGACCTTATTTTTCCTTGCCTGGAAAGAGTATGAGTAAACTCAGCTTTGTTGACACAAGCTTTCCTGGTAATTTTTGTGAGGACACTAACAATTTCTTATTTACAACAAATGTATTTTTTCATTCCTAAAGTATCTGTTATTTAAAATAGTCTTTTGCTGATTTTTAAATTTTTATAATTCTATATTTCATGCCTTCAAATATTTTTCTACACAATTTAGCTGTCTGATGATTTTAATAGCTGAAGATCTCGTATGGGGGAGTTCTTATGTCATTTTTGTTTCTTTAAACTCATACTCATGGTAACTTTTTCTTTATGAATTTGATCTTCGATTGTGGAGCTCAGATTTTTTTCCACTTCGTATGTGGAAATCCTGAGAGCCTCAACTGGGGATGTTACTCTAGAGATTTGTACGCCTGATGCCTTTTTGTTTTTAGAGATTTTGTTTTTAGAGATTTCCCTTCAGCCATATTTTAAAAACAGCATAAAGTCAATTTTAGCAGGATCTACCTGTGTAGAGGGAGAGGTCTTCTCAGTCCTGTGGATGCAGCCCTCCCTGTCTCTTACTCTTTTCCAATACTGTTTCCCTGGGTAACTCAGCCTGATTGAGCCCATGGAGTAAGTTCACCTCTAGTGTCATGTTTTTCTGGACCAGTAGTGAACTATAATTCTGCACTGGTTATACATAAGTGTAGATGAAGGAAGAAAGAAAGACTGCTCTAGCAAGCATTCTTGGCACTTCTCCGTAAATGTCACAGACTAAGACTTGAAAAGTTTTCAGGGTTGTAAGCTTTCTCCCACACAGCCCAGAAATAGTATGTGGTTCATCTTGTGCCTACTTCCTTCTAGGGCAGATTTTAGACTGTCCTGGGGTCAAACCCTTTTAACTCAAAAGTATTCCATGTTGGAACTAACTATAGAATGTTAACACTGAGAATTAGATTTCTAACCCAACAATCTAGGATGAGAAGTCCTATTCATTTTAAGCATAAAAGTAGGGAGTGAGATGTGGCCAGCTGCACTCACCATGCTGGCGTGCTCACCACCGAGCTCTTCTGTAAATGCCAATGCCGGCCTGGGCCATGCTGTGTGCATTTCTGTGTCAATTTTTCTTTTTTCCCCTGTCCCCCCTTTCCCTCCTGTTTTACATCTTCTTTGTCCCTTATCACCTGTTCTCTCTCCATCTCTTTTCACTTTGTTCAAGATGTTAATTAAGTTACCTAATATGACACATATTAAAAATAAGCGAGAACAGAGTTCCAGTTAACCAGGTTTGAACACGCTGTGTATCTTTTCTCCCCTCGGAAGTCCCATTAAAATGATAGTGAAGGAGTAACACATCAAACCCACAATAATTAAAAGAAAAAGAGGGAAGATTTCTGCAGCTAGAAGTCAGTACTTTGAAAATTGAAAGAAAAAGGAAGAAAAATAAATGGCTTACATCTCAGAAATGATTGCCACCTAAGCTCTAGATGGAAGGTTGAGAGGGGTGGGAGATGGGGTGGAAAGAGAAGTATTCTTGTCATAGAATTCTGGAAAAACTCAGGAATTAGAGCATTGTGTCAGGATGCAGGTGGGTTGAAAACAGAACTGTTGAAGGCAAGTTTTTAAGGAGAAACAAGGCTTCAGATTGCTTCTTCTACCTCAT